GCGACTTTCTGGTTGCTCGTCCGCTGCAGACCGTGCAAACCGCGCAAGCGAAATGTCCGCACGACCTTCCCCGTGTGTGCGCCTGCAAGTCGCTGTCCTATACGCCGCACACATGGCGATTTCGAAGCGATTTCGGAGGGCGATTGGAAGCGAACGAGGGTGTGCTGAAAATCAAAGGCCAGTGTTGATTTGCTAGCAACCTCGTTGCAAGCGACCAGAATTCGTTTAGCGGAGTTGGCAAATTGCACGTTGCCCCGGCAGAACATAGCGATTTTCGAACCAGCAATTTTCGACTGCGATTATCTAGAAAATCGGCGGCCGAATGCATGAAAAAGTCCCAGTACTGGCGCTAAGGCTTACCGTTCCCGCGTGTAGACGTAGCTTCCGTTTGAGTATGAGGCAGGTCTCGCTGTCTCCTTCAATCGTGATGAACGCACCCGCGTCCGCCAATGGCTCGGTCTGATCAAGCGTCCGCAGCTGTCGTCTGTTAGCGGCAGCTGATGCTGGCAGGTTGCCCTTTGCTGTGATGCGCATGACGTAGCGGAAGCCCTGTCGCCACAGTGAGAGTGCCCCGGTTCGGTTACGGGATGCAACGCGGAGACAACATAGGTAGATTCACGTGGACTATGACGGGGAGAAACAGCGAAGGAGTGACAGGGGCAGAACAGCACGGAAGCATTGTAATCAAGAGTCCATTATTTTAATAGAGAGTTAATAATATGAGATAATGACGAAAGATAATAGAGAGATAAATAAGAGTCTCTATATGAGATCTTGATGATATATATATATATATTAGTAAGATTAGAGAGCTAGTTAGTTTTTAGATAGATAGATAGATAGATACGATAGAGTAGATAGATTAAATAGATAGAAATAGATAGGCTAGGATTAGAAGGGTAGATAGAGTAGATAGATAAGATAGATAGATTAGATAGATAGAGTAGATTAGATAGATAGATGAGATAGAGTAGGATAGTATGAGATAGATAGATAAATAGATAGATAAGATAGGATAGATAGATAGATAGGAGTGAAGAGAGAGAGAGAGCAGACAAGAGGAGACAAAGAGAGAGACGAGAGAGAGAGAGGAGCAGAGAGAGAGACAGAGAGAGGCGAGTTATGGAGGAAAGAGAAAGACTAAGTACGGAACCAATTGTACTAACTACGACTGAAATATCGTTTGGCGACGTTTTCGCGATGACGTACCTGGTTGAAGTCGTGTGACTTCGGTGTATTTGGGCTGCAGGAATAGTTATAGAGAGTCTGGCATCAGTTTGCATGCCTAAATGGAGAAGTCGCGTATCGAGGCCCAGTCTTTGAATGGGCGAGAATGCATACCATACGCTGTAGATCGACAGACATATTTTCAATCATGGTATTCATAGCGCGTATCAGTACATCCAAATGGAGAGGTGATTTTAAGTGAGGTAACGCGCTCTAATGATAAGCAGATGGCAAATGTGTTGTTTGGATTGTCACCCATTTATGTGATGTTTGAAACATGGTGGATAAACACATTCATTGGATAATAACTGCCGAGGTTTGTAGTTTAACGGAGACAGTTACGCAGTACTGTTTTTCAAGATTTTCCGTAAAAATCACTGCATTAGGTTATCGTTCAAATTAACAGTTGTTCATTATTGAATCTTAAGTAATTAATAAATTCCTTTAACGGGGAAATGCTGTCCGTTTAACACGAAAAAATTATACGCAAATTTTGCCAAGCCTCATTGTTCGCCCAGTAAGGAATTATATCAGTAGACGAAGGTTTTTATCAGAGAGGTAGTGTATAACCCTGAGGTCGGTGCATAAAAACGTAAGGCGGCGTAAAAACACGAAACAGAAACAGAAAACAGAAACAGAAACCTAGTGAACTGTAGCAGATTGCAGCGGTTCTTTCGAATAAACCGCGAATGGCGGGGTTGGAGGCCGAATTTATTGTCTGAGCATTAATCTGGTTAAACTCCGGGTAGTAAAAGTTCTACAGAGAAACAAACTCTCGGAAGTGGAAGAGTTTCGAGCGAACGTCGCGTACTGCGAGACCTAAGTTGATCTGGGGCAATATGACTTTCCTCGCGGACATTTGAGAGGCTGTTGCCCAAATATGGCAAGTTTACAAGCTGTGTGTTGTTGCGCGTCCTTACACACGGAGAAATGCGGGTTCTTGTTTAGAGAACAAAAAAAATTTACGGGAGACGTATTACAACTCTGGTACGGCGGGAGAAATGAATCAACCTATCCCTCCTGGCGTGATTGCAGTATCTCCAGCGCAATATTGTTGTGGGTGGTGGGGCACGTTCTGAAAGACAATGTTTGTCTAGGAAGTGGCGGCACAGAGATTACAATTTGAGTGCAGGCGTAAAAACGAAATGTAAATTTATCTAAGCTGACACCGTGCCTAGCAAATAATGATTGATATTGGTTATCACTATAATTAAGGGTTATCTCTTCAGACGAATAGGTAGGCGCATACAGCACATTGTTGTACTGTACGCCGGTACCGGGTACCGTACCGTGCTGTGACACACTATATTGAAATTGCACTGCACTGAGCTACTGTGTCTATACACGCATACGTGATCAGAGAGACTTTAAAATAGAGGAGGCATTTCCATGTGTCGACAATAAACTGTTATGGCGGCGAGGATCACGGACATATGACACGATTATAATTTTTTAATTAATCCAATATTTAACTGGTGACACTCGACACTCCGGTGTGGCGTGGTTGTTGGTGTTGCAACACGTGTGCGTTCTAAAACGATATCCCACAGGAGACCGCGAATATACCAACATCCCTTTAAGATATGAATTTATATATAATTATATAATTATAATATAATACTAATTTAATGTAATATAATATACATATAAGATGGATAATATAATATAATATAATATAATATAACAAATTATGAGGGAAGTTTTTTAACAGGTGTAAATTTAAAACTAAAGGTGTTGATTAACCAAAACCAATTAATTCAATCCGAGTGCGACGTGGAAAATGGTCTTATCATCGATCGGTTGGCTGAAAGAATACGTAAAATGCGTAGAAATATATAGAACGGTCTGCGTCACTTCCATCTGTTTGCCGACCCTTTTAACTAGGAACCCGTACCGGAGAGCCGGTTGACCGTACTTCGGCGGCGGAGCCCATCACTTTGCTGAACAAGCATCGAAAGAAACTGTTTCTTAACAAGGTCACTACACTGAACACATTGTGATTTCCTAGTCACATTGGATTTGTACATAACACACCGGTGAGCTTAGCCGCGGAGTCATTATCGCTCAAAGTGGCGTGATTAATGATTAATTTATCGCTAAAATATAATGATTAAATAATTTAATTAGTCGCTCAACAGTGATTAATGATTCATTTCAAACAATATATATCATTATTGCGTAATTGTGTGTAATAATTTACAATCAAATAATCTCCAAGAAATAGTAAAATAGGGTTGACATTTTATATCGTATGTCTCTACCGGTAAATACATTTTAAATTAAAGCAAAAATTGGCAAATTTCATCTCCGCACTTGGATTATCATGCATCGTTTTGTTAGATGTGTTGAGAGTTTTTGTTGTTGTATTCGCTACCTGATATAACCTTTACATTACGGGCCAATTGCGCATCATTTTATTAATTGGTGTTTTGAACAATATTGGGTACCATATTTCTATAACTAAATATAACGAGGTTCTAAAGCTTACGACTGGTAAGAATAGTAGGTCACTGAAAAATTTTCTCGGTTGCCGAAACACGTATATTTTGCTATTGCTCCAGCAATCTAATCCCGGATTCCTCGAACTTCATCGTTCGCGTTATATGTCTTAAACGTAGGCAAAACACAAAGGCATGATGGGGTAAAACAAATCAAATAAAAACATAATCAATTAATATATATATAGTATATATATATATATATATGTGTGTGTGTGTGTGTGTGTGTGTGTGTGTGTGTGTGTGTGTGTGTGTGTGTGTGTGTGTGTGTGGTGTGTGTGATGTGATCTTGTGTCCCCTGTGTCTGTGTGTACGCGTGCGTGAAGTGTGTTGTGGTGTGTGTGTGTGCTGTGTGTGTGTGGTGGTGTGTGTGTGTGTGTGTGTGTGTGTGTGTCTCGTGCGCGCGCGGTCTGTGTATCGGTGAGGGCGCTGTGTAGCATTGGTGTGTGTGTGTGTGTGTGGTGTGTGTGTCGTGTGTGTGTGTGTGTGTTGTGTCGTGTAATGTGTGTGTGTGTGTGTGTGTGTGTTGTGCGTGTGTATGTGTGTGTTGTGTGTGTGTGTGTTGCTGTGTGTGTCGTGTGGGTGCTGTGTGTGATGTGCGTGTTGCTGTCGTGCACTTGTGATATTTGCTATAGTATATATATATATATATATACTATAGTAAATGTCATATAAATATACCTATATATTCTAACTAGATTTTAAACTACTATATAAGCAAACAAATGTCTTACCGTGTTCTTTGTAAGTTTAAACAAAGCTACAGACAATGGGATGTGCTGCTGTTCATCTGCAGACACTATCGCATCAAGTAGCATCTCCTCATTGAATGTTGTTGGGCGACTAGGGTAACTGAACAAACAGGTTATTTTCTCCAAAAATGGCGGACATGTTGAGAGTTAAACACAGGCATGGAGCGAGGTTGAATAATATATTGAATAATTTCTGTCACAGCAAATTAAATTCACACTCTAAAAAGCCGCCATGGTATATCGCTGATGCTCCCCAAACTTATTTGATGTGACAAAAAGTGAGATGGTGTTCATGGAGCTTGAGAGTGCGCGAGAGAGCGTGTGCGCGACAATTTATTTAGTACACGGAGAAACAATTATAGTGTTCTGTAGATGCGATGAGGAGGGAACGGCAAAATATTGATCTAACTGTGCTTTACGTACAACTTGTTTATGTTCACGTTAATAACATACGTATATACGTGAAATAGTTTGTTATATCTTTTTGACTAAATCATACCTGCGTCATTTGGCTTTCCAAGCCACTGAAACATTTCTCCTGTATTATAACTGAATATTGTATTCGTTACGAAGCCATTTTTGCTTGCAATGACCCTCGATGCCTGCAATGACTTGCTGCGAAATTAAAACGAATATCATGTGAATAATCACAGCATTGTGGGAAATCCTTAAATAATAACCACAAGATTCGATATGTACTATTAAAATATAGAAACTATTATTAATATTAATCATTCGTAATCCTACTCAAATATTTACTATCCCTATCAATATTCACGCATTAAAATTCTACTTTTCTATGAGCCGTTATAAGCAGATTTAGCAAAGGTAGATAAATTATATTGTTCGCAAATGCAATGTGTTTTAGTAAGGATATCGGTTTTAGACTAATCTAGATTGTTGAGTCAGCCTATAGTCCTTACTAGAAATAAATTATTCAGTAGCTTAGTTATGAGAATTACCTGTAGTACTCCTTTAGCTCGATCGTATAGTTTTGATGATGCATATTTGCCTCAATCTGCAAACTATACTCATCGGGAAATGCTGGCACTGCTGGATCTTAAAGTAATCAGAGAACTTTGTTAATCTTTTTCACTCACTTCCCATGAAAACGTGGTACTAACGTGGCATGCGTTGCAGCATATACATATCTAGCACGGAGATCGGTGGTTGAGAAAAGAGATTTATAAGCATGAAACCCGTTCACAAAATTATTCTAGCACCCTTGAGAATATGAACGATTACCGATGGATCATTCTCTATATTATTGAACAAAACAATGCGTTACTAGATGATATTATATGTGTAACTATGTACATCCTATGAGCAGTACGTGGCGAGAGTTATTATTGGAGAGTCATAACAAAGATATCAAATAAATTTATTGGTAGTGGCATTTTCATGTGCCATATCAAAACCTTCTCGAGTATCAAACTCAACGGTTGGTTAGAAGACAGGTTTGAAGAAGCGTGGATTGTAATACTGGCAGCCGAGTCAGTCACACATATTGACAAATGTGTGCATATCTCTTGCGCAAGTCCAAAGCCAATGCGTTCCACGTAGCTATTAGCTAGCAAATATTTGTAAACAGTCGGTGGTGAGATAAAGTGGACGTACACGGGTGATAGGGCAATCGAATGTGTGGAACAAACGCAACCGGTGTACTTGAAAACGACCCAAGGCGTGTATCAGCTTGGATGAATTCTGTCTGATGTAATTTCCAGTATATTCAGTAGCACCTTTCTTGTCATTTCGATGTTTACCTTCACTTTGGTAGCTCTCTGAAGCCTAATTTATGTGTGACGAGTGTTATATTTTGGGAATATACGTTATATAACTCTGAGCGTAATATTTACGCAGAGCACGTTTTACAGAAACATCGCAAATGCTTATGACTACCATAAGTCTAGACCGTCATAACTTTTGCACAACATTGCATGTTTATTTCTGTCTACCAGGTTTCTATTCTGTTCATGCAATCAGCAACTATACTAGAACCAACTATTCAATACAGGCTTTATGTGCTTTAGAGAACATTGACACAATCTACCTTCCAAGGCATAGGCGCAGCCTAAGATTCCAGCGAGAAGGATACTGACGGCATGTATGTGATGCATCGTGTCTAATCCTTTCTACAGATCAGTGTCTGAAACATTGAAATTCATTTATAGCTTATCTTCTCTCTCTATGTGTGATGCGTTATCATTGGAGCCACGCACTCAGCGTACATCTCGCACGTAATCATACACCACTACACATCGAGCACAACACAGCACACACACACACTACTCATCCCACACAGCACCACACAACACACTGACACACACAACACACACACACACACACACCACACACATATGAGAGTTGGTACACACACACACATACCACACACACACCACACAACACACACATACACACACACACCACAATCCCCCTAACATACAAACACAACAGAGCCCACCAACGGCATAGCGACACACAACACATGCATACACACACACCCATCACAACACATATACACACACACATTGAGTATCTCACACATACACTGAGCGACATCACGACAACACACAGGGGCTCACATAGCATGCTCGCAACGAGGAAGAACACGCAGCATACATCGAACACGAGGACACACACGAATACAGAAAGCAAGCACAGATAATTGGAGTCGTATAACGACATACACACACCACAGATCACACATACCCACAACATACGGTCGTAGGATTGCGGGATAATGACATCACGAGCACACCACAACACACACACTGGTGGAGGATCCGAAATAAGAAGCGACCGTGAAGAGGGTACAACAGAAGCACAGACAACATAAACAAAAGCACACAACAACAAGTAACACAACAACAGCACCAAACACGACACAGAATTCACACAGGCACTGACACATACACAACACAACACACACATGCATCAGCACACAGAAGAGCACACAAAATACAGACACACAGCATATAGCACCACACACACACAGCACACACACAATCAACACACTAGCATATAATAATAGTATACCAACACAGGGGACAGGATCTGACACAAGCGGGACGAGGGAGGAGAGAGTATGGAAGGAAAGGGGGTGCACAGAGATAAGCGAGGTGATTCGCCCGCGGCGAAAAACACAAGACGAGTTATGTCACAACACACTACAGAGGTAGGTGACACCACACAAGAGGAATCACACACTAAAGGGAGTAGGGCACGATCGCAGAGAGAGAAGGCCAGGGAGGACGGAAGCGGACAACACAGGTGAAGAAGGCGAGGCAGAACGCACCACCGGGAGAAATAAGAAAAAGGCGAGAGAGTAGCCGACGCGGACGAAAGTGAGACGACGTTAAGACAAGACCGAAGCGAGAATAAAGACCACGACACACGCGCGCGCGCGCGCGCGCGCACGAACATACAGGAACGCACACGCATACCGACATTTGAAACACACCGTTTAAGATTAAATGTCAGTTGATGATAGATTGAACTATGATATTTGATTCACTGAGAATTTAAACTGAAGATACGTGCCAGCTATATATGCGTTACATTTGCGTGCACACACACACGCACACACACATACACATACACATACCACACACATACACACACCACACATACACAGTCAACACAACACAGCACACCACACACACACACACAGCACACACACACTAGCACAGAGAGTCACGAACCACACACTACAACAACACAGACGACACACAGTGGTCAGCACTACACACACAGGCGTACACACACACCAACACTAACACATAACACACCACATAAAACAACACACACACACCACAACACACATAGCACACACACACGGACACACAGCACACGAACACACCCATAACACCCATACCATCACACAAGCACACACTCGACTACACACAACACAACACACGACACACACACACAGTA